ACAGCAGCTGAAAATCAAGCAGTTTGCATAAGAGGTGAACAAGTGTATTGTCAAGTTTCCTTAACAAATATTTAGCTTTTTTTGTAATTGTAGGTTCAAAGAAAATGGCTACAATACACTTATTCAATTACCAAATATACTGTAGGGTTTGTGCAGTGCGCTCTTTTATATATCAAAACCACCCAATGATATTCCCTGTTTGGAGAGCAGTGCAAAGCATCCACCTTTTTATAGTGTCTTTGTTGTTTGTGGCACTTGGAGATCTAGAATAGCTGGGTGTTCATTTTTCACCAGTTTTGGCACTGTTACGGGAGTGCTATTTGCACCACTTTAAAAATGTTCTTTAAAAAAAATATTTTTACATCTTGCTCTGTGTTATCAAGTAGAGCTAATATTGAGATGTGTATATACATATTGATGTTGAATTGAGGATTACTGTCACCTTCCTCATCCATGATTGGCATTATTATTATTTTTCTGAGTTGCTTTTATCTCCTGCTCAGTCTGTTTAATGATATGTTTTATAAAAAAAGAAATGCAGACAGACAAATAACTCTGATAGAGAACTTTGACACTGTTTACACAAGTAAAGTGAGGATTGGCTATCCACCTCAAGGTGTAATTGTTATCTGAGAATTTTCAATAAAAATATCTCAACTAGGTTTTGTCTCATGAGTGTCTTAATGGGGGACAAAGTGAAAAATAATTATATTTTTATATTATTTATTTACCAATTAATTATATTAGTTTGAGTTGGACAAATGTAAATTCATTTAATTTACTTAACGTAATAATTTTATTTCAGCTTTATTTGATAAAAATGAGTTGGACTAACTCAATTCAATTTTATTAAATGGATGTTTTTAGTTTCAGTTGGGGCTACGAATATTTATTGGATGGAAATCCTGCCCACAATTGAATTGAGTTCATACAATGAGTTATTTTTTTGAGTGTAGACTATCACGTACAATGTGATGAAGCACTAGCCAACTGAAGCCTTAACTGCCTTTGGAGGGAACACCGGGATGTAAGCCTTTGCAGACCATTTACATGCACACACACGCCTGTATAACACACTACAGGAAAGGGAAAATCCCAAGAAGCATAATAGGGCCTTTTTAAGAATTCCAAACAGGCAAATTGACTGCCTAGAAGGCACAGTCTGAGAGACAGAATAAAATAGTATTTCATCAGCTTTCCTCTGGCTGGGAAAGCTATGGAAAATCTATTCTTAGATATATAAAAGGGAATTGGCTAGTATCAATGACTGCTGATGCATGAACTATGAGATATGTGTATTAAAAAAGGAAAGGGTCTAGTGAAGTAGAATATCTCTCTGAAATTAGAAAATGACCCAAAGGAAAGAAGAACCTGAAATTAATGTAGCCCAATAGACACTTACATTTGCAGTTGAAGGGAAATGTTGTAGCTCAACTTTTTCGGAGAATAATCAAATTGGAAGACTGACGGCACTCTAATACAGTATGTGTCCGTCTGATAAAAGGCTACAGCTAGCAGCCAGTTAACTTAGCTGGAAATAGGGGAAACAGCTAACTTTGCTCAGTCAGGGAAACAATATTTGCCAGACCAAAAAATTGTGAGATGCATAACCCCCCATAAAATCTTAACCTGTTTTTGATTGATTCAATTCAATATAATGTGTTATTAGTGCATTTGTAAAGTGCTGTTACCAGGCTAACAGTTTTCCTTATTGTTTTTATGCCAAAATAAGTTAGCCAGCTGCTAATGCTTTTATCATATCTATCTGCAATGGTTTCGATCTTCACAATGAACTCACTGCAAGGAAGCACATTAGTGTTTTTTGTAAAAGAGTTATTATCAATAGGCAGTGGGATGTCAATCGTTGATTTTTGAATTACAGCTTTGAATCCATGTAGCCTATGTTAATGTGTTGTGCTGTTAAACAAACGTGTTACTGTTTTATGAAAACTGTTTTGAAATAATCACATTATAATAAAATGTATTGACATGTCCATAATGTTCCCTTTTTTAAATCGATTTGTTTAATCTGCAATGTTTCAATGCTATCAAATATTTAAAGGGTTGGATTGAAATCAGGAAGAGTTTATCGTATATAGGTTCCGGCAACTCAATTGTGTTTTATAATTTACTTTATTTATTCTTGTCTTATGTGGTTCTTAGCAGATTGTTATATGCATTGGTTACACTTAATATATTGGCTTTTAATTGTAGGCTCAACTCATCTTTTCACATGCAGAAATAATCACATTAGTGAGTTCACCCAACTCCTATATTGCTTGGAAACTGTTGACACATTGTTTTTAAGTTTTAGCAAAGTAACACATTCTTGAATAGAGGAAAACAAAAAAAGTAAGTTTCACCAACTCAAAAAATGTAAAAGTTGACTAAACTCTTAAAATTGCTTGTAAACTGTTGACACGTTATTTTACATTTTTAACAGCAACAGTTTTTACAGTGTACAACACACTAAAGGGTAAGGGAAAACCCCAAAAAGTAGCTCAGGTAATGAATGAATAAGTGGGATAATTTTCTCATATACTTCAATACAATCAGAGCTTTTGCATCAAGTTTAGTTGCCCCCTGCTGGTCATTATAAATAATGCATGTTAAAGGCCCTACAAATATGGTTTTAATTTCATTGAGTTGAGTTGTCTCGCCATTGCTTGGATACAAACTCAGTATAGACTTTCTGCTATTATACAGTCCAGCTTTAACCATACGCCTCTGCCCTGTGCTGGAGCTATGCGACCATCCGTTGGCCCCATCTGTGCTATGTATATCCTGGAGCAGGAGAAAGAGAAAAGAACAGTGCAGAGGCAGAGGAACAGGGATGGGGCGGGGGGAGTCGCTGTGTAGCTGCTGGCTAAAAGGCACTTCATGGTCTATTTATATCAGATGATTGCTGTTCCTAAACTCACTCAAACTCTGCATACACAGACATTTAGTTTGAAGGCCTTTTTCCAATAGAATGTCCAACAAAAATCACAAACTGTGTTAGACTTTGTTTTCCCACATTGTGCGTGCAATCATTTTAATGTGAATAGTTTGTTGCATAAAGGCAGAGCAGCATGTAGATGGTAATTTGATCACAGATGCTCTTTTCTTTTTATATGTGTGTGTGGTTTATTGGACACAGGCCTGCAGGAGACACAATCAGGCTTTCCTAGAGGGGATAAAGGAGAATAAAGCTTATAAAGCGCAGGGTGCTTTAAAGTCCACTAGTTCTTCTCATTTATGCTTATCTGACTGACGGCCGTGTAAATGGCTTTCTGTTGAAGGAGAGTCCCCTGGGGGAACCGTTCCACTCAGAGACAGTGACAGGCCGGTAATGCCGCCTCGCCAAAACCCCCACTCCACACCTCCATCCACCCAAACACCCCTCTCCAAACCAGCCCAGACAAACATCTTGATTGTAATTGAATTTTTGGGACGAGTGCTGTGTGACGAGGACGGATTGGGAGAGAGAGACGGAGAGAGAAGGGAAACTGAGGAGGAAGATAGAGTGATGGAAAGGTTGGAGCAGTGACGGGGGTTGAGATTGAACTTGATGGAAGAGGAAATAGCATGGTGTTGTATAGGAAAGAAAACGACAAGGACAGAGAGGGAGCTGCTGGGGAGAATCTTTGTTGCTTCACTGAATTCTTAAAGCTCATGAAATGTACATACCTGCCCTGTATTATTGAGTCATTCATAAAGAAGCCCTATTGTGTTTTTTAGGGTTTTCCCTTTCCCATAGTGTTTTCTGTAGGTGTTTCTGCATGTAAATGGCTAAAAGGCTAAAATCCCAACTGTTACATTTACTTGTGTTTTTTATGTTGTATAACTAAATGGTAAAGTCTCGTAGGCTTGTTAACTAGGGACCTTATATCAGGCTTCAAACCAGAAACACCTTTAAAACCATTGCAATCTAGACTAAATGGTAAAATGCTTAGTCTCTAAGAATCTATGAGCAGCTTGTTACAAATGAACCCTTTCATTAATGTCTGAACGCATTATGGAAAGGAACCTTAGGGTCAAGTACACGTTTTACTCTACCTTAGGCTTATTCCGTTCATGTGACTTGTGGGCGTAAGGTAAAGGTCGGAAAGTGAATGACTTTTGTCAGAGTTTGTTGCATTGGCGTAAAGGAAGATTATACTTCCTGTATAATAGAGTTTCAATGTTAGGGTTGAACATAGCTTGTTCAGACAAAGTTGAAGCACATGAGATTTGGTTAGATGTAATAACAAACAGGATCAAGAGAAATGTAAAGAAACAGTTTTGTATTTCTCAGTAGGCTGCTTTCGATGTCTTCAGACACCTTTAATAAAAATCTAAGACTGTCCGTGGCAAAAACAAGCACTTCCACTGGATATACATTGACGATGCGCAATGGCCCAAAGCAATTACAATGCAGCCTGTTTAGCAGATGCCGTCTGCAGCGCTTTCCCAACACTGGACACATTTTTTTAAAGTGGTGTCCCCATTAGTCACTTTGACACAGAACAAGGTAAAATAGGGCCCAGCTTGAAAAAGACCTCAGCAACCCTTTGAGAGCATCTCAGATAAATAGCAATTTTTCATCAAAACTTTCTGCCATTGTTCATTTATTATTTGTCAGTCTGCTGCTCACCTTACTTCACATTCTGATTCACTGCACTTCCTTTTCAAGTTTAATTGCATCTTGCAGATGTGCACTGTTGTCTGAAGATAATCACAACCAATGCATTAAAGGAGAGTCACTTGCTCTACAGAACAAAAGAAGCTTCCAATTGATCAAATGTAACACTGAATCCAAGAGATGTTGTAACCGGTAATCAGGTGTCCTCCGATCCAGTGGTGGCTTGACGGTCAGTGTAGCTGTGAGTTTCCATGTGATACAAAAACTCCAAAGGGTTTATTTCTTCCCACGTTTAATAATAAAGGCCTTTTTTGTAATTCTTCAAAGCAAACATACAATGTGATTGGTCAATCACTCATATCCTAATTCATAGCCTTGTTATTGTGCAACCATTAAATATGATGCCTTTCTCTCTATTTTCCCTATTTCATATATTATATTTAATTTGAAGGGAACCTCTTATGCTTTTTGAGGTTTTCCCTTTCATTTAGTGTCATATGTTTGTGTGCATGTAAATGCTCTGCAAAGGCCAAAATCCCAAAGTTCCCTTGAGTAATCTGTATAGGTCCTATGCATCTTGTGAAAGTTCAAAACACATGCATATTCAGTACATAAGCACTTTGACAAAATATGGCATAAGATGGAAAATTCTGAATTACCGTAATTTAAGTGATCCACGTTTGGTTACGATTGGTTGTTTCGCAAAACGGCTGAATGGTGCATCACTTTAAATGCTGCGGCTGCAAAGAATGGTTACACAGCATTATCTCCTTTTCTCTCTTAAAGCATGGTCATGGTGTATCCTTTTGGTTAGGATACACCTAAGGACACAACAAGGGAAGTATTGAAGCTCCTTTCCTACCTAGAATTTCAACAGCTCTTATCATGGCTGCCACTTTGGGGTCATGTCCCTCCATAAGGAACCTTCCTGAAAAAAAAAGAAAATACTATTCGCCACCCAGGTTTTCCTCACGTATCAGGGGCTGTTATGATCAGCAGATGCTGTAAATCACAGCAATGAGTACTGACAAGTCCATCGTGCTTACATCGACAGGAAACAGATTTTTTTGCAGAGTACATTTCTCACTTTGGTTTGTGGCAAAGAAAACAAACTGTAGGTGTGATCCCACCAGGAGAGTGTGATCACAAACACGTTGACAAGTCATATTGGAGGAAAGTATAGGGAATGGATATCCTGAAAATATGTTTCTGTGCCTGTTGCTCAGTGTCATAGTGTTTTTGTTGTCTATAATCTTCTTTGTTTAAAGGGGTTTTGTGTTTTTCTGTTTGTCTAAAACAATGGTTCACCTGACTGTTGTAGTCCTGATGTGCAATATAGGATTTGCTATTGCCTTATTCACTCAAACATTCTTTTATTTTCTATTCTCTCTGTCACCTCACAGATTTTATTTAGTCAGCGGTGGAGTGCCCCTCATCATCTGCGGGGTCACGGCGGCCGTCAATATAGACAACTATGGCAGCGGGGAGCAGGCGCCGTAGTAAGTCCTCCATTTGCTTCTGCTCTCAAGGTTAAATGACACACTCTGCTGGCAGTGGTGAGAGAAACAAAGTACATGCACTCATGTATTGTTCTATAGGGCTGTTTTGACATACTTTTACTTGAGTATTTATTTTGTATGCTACATATACTTCTACTCCCAGGCAAATATTTAACTTTGTATTCCATTACAGTTATTTAACACTTTGTATGTACAAAACACAAAATAGGCTTATATAATTTGAGGCTGTATTGTAATACCCAGTATTTAAAAAATTATCTGAAATTGGCTTGACTTTGGCAAACCACAAGTTAATACTATATGACACTGTGAAAAGAGCCGTTCTTCCTATTTAGTACTTTTGATACTTGAATTACATTTGAATGTAATTCATTCTGAACTTATACTAAAGTATAAAACTAAGATAAATATCTAAGAACTTCATGCACCTCTGTCTGTTGGTGCTTTTAAAAGAAGTTTCAAGCATGTTTGTACATTTGGTTGTATAAATGCTTTTGAAATGTGTGGGTAACGCTGCATTTTGGGGTCTTGTATGAGCATTTATTAACTAATAGGATAAGTGATAAGTAATAATACAAAAGGGTTCATGAACCTTAAGGTAGGGCATTGCTCTCACTTCAGAGCTGCAAAAAGAGGTGAATAGTCACGTAGTTATAAATACATAATAAAGTATTTATCACTCTAAGTCAGGGGTGTCAAACTCAATTTCATCGCAGGCCACATTTGCATAAAGGTTGCACTCAAAGGGCCGGTTGTAACTATATAAATATATAATATACTGTATATATAAAATAATGTATTATATTACATTATTGCCTCGGAATTGGATTATAATCGGATAGGATAATAACTTAGTAATTAACTACGTCTGAAAGCAGAAGTCCAGGGCAAATAATTGCAAGTCTCTTCAGTGCGCATGTCACAAAACGAGATGCATTGTGGGACATGTAGTTTATGGGCAACCTGCTTCTGTAAAGTGGCATGTAACCGTATAATAAACATATTATATTCTTTGCAAGCTCTTGCGGGGCCACATAAAATGAAGTCGCGGGCCGGATTTGGCCCCCTGGGCCTTGAGTTTGAGACCCCTGCTCTAAGTAGATAAGAGTTAAGGTATGACATCAAAGGTCTGTAAGTCAAACTAAATAAATGTGGTTTTATTGCGATGTAAAAAATGATTAGGTGTTAGAAATACCTTATAATCCAACAATAAACATATTATGATACTATTATTTAGTATTTTTAACACATTATAATGTTAATAAGCATTATGTAAGGACTTTTAAGGACCCTATTATATATTAACCACTATATAGGTATATTATGTTGTATTTACTATATTATGCTTGTAAGAAGTATCTTTATACAAAGCAAAACATGTAAACCTATGTTATTGAATTTATATAATTCAGTTTCTTAGTTCTTTTGAAAAATGTGAACATAAATCAAAGTATTAAAATGCACGGGTGTTCTTGTGTGTTGCAGCTGCTGGATGGCGTGGGAGCCCAGCCTGGGAGCCTTCTTTGGCCCCATGAGCTTCATCATCCTGGTGACATGCATCTACTTCCTGTGCACCTTCATCAAGCTGCGGCGACACCCCGAGAAGAAGTACGAGCTGAAGCAGCTGACGGAGGAGCAGCAGAGGCTGGCCGCCGTCGACGTGCCCACCCACTGCCACCAGGGAGCCGAGCCGGGGGCCCTGGTGGCCCCGTCCGGTGGGGGCCACTGCCCCGCTGGCTGTCCGGGGGTTCCCATTAACCCTGCGCTGCTGGCCAATGAGCACTCCTTTAAGGCTCAGCTACGAACGGCGGCCTTTACCCTCTTCCTGTTCCTGGCCACCTGGACGTTCGGGGCCTTGGCTGTGTCGCAGGGCCACTTCCTGGACATGATCTTCAGTTGCCTCTACGGTGCCTTCTCCGTCACCCTCGGCCTCTTCATCCTCATCCATCACTGTGCCAAGCGCGACGATGTTTGGCATTGCTGGTGTTCGTGTTGTCCCGGACGAAATGCCGAAGCCCAAGGGGCCCCTCAGGCCCGACCTAAAGTCAACGTGAACGGAGACACCCCCGGGCATGGCCACGGTCACAGCCACTGCCACCATGACTCTCCGTGTCACGGTAAAGCAGTGATAACCTGCAGTCATGGCGGTTTAGCTCACTGTAAACACGCCGCCCTCCCCTCCTTGCAGAACCATGTGACGTGCCTGGCGCCGGTGGCTCCGTGCTGCGCGGCAATGCACAGCCAGCAGCTGATGGAGGAGGAGCCCGCGGCGACACACGTGCTGCTACACGCCGATCCGGAGGGGTACCGGCCGGGGATCCAGCTGCACCCCTGCCTAAAGAGCAGCACCAGGACTAAAAGTCGTCACTTCGGCCGCCGGTCCGGTGCTTGCGGGGCAGTGGGGGAAAAGGAGTACGCCTATCACATCCCCTCCAGCGCGGACGGAGTCAGCATGCACAGCTCACACACTGACAGCCCCCACAGCACACACGAGCGCCACGCCCACACCTGTCCACACCTGGCCCAGGAAGGCCACCACGACGGGCATCACACGTGCCACTGCGCTGCCACCGCCGCCGCCGCGCACGAGGCCCTGGTGTGCCATAATCCCTGCCACAGGCACATCTGCTGCACCAAGGCTGACCTTTTCCCCTCCCTGTGCCCGGCAGAGGCGGGCGACACGGGCATCTTCCTGTGTGGCTGCGGCAAAGTGTCTGAGCCGGACCCGATGGCGACACATCACCATCTGGAGATGCACGCCCCGCGCAGACAATCGTTCCCTCAGAACCCGCCCAATCAGAATGGGATTCTAAAGGGGGGCCTGCAAGAAGGACTCCTGTACGGCTCGGACAGCACGGGGAATATACGCACGGGGCCCTGGAAGAATGAAACTACTGTGTAGTATTGGAGATGGGCGACTCCATGCCCAGTCCTGCCAAAAATAAACCCTTTCTAGAATAAAAAAAAGAAGGAATTTAACATTTTAAACATCACAATCAGCGTGGGATATTTTTATTTTAATGTCCTCATGTTTCTATGTGTGCTGTTTTACTGTACAGAAATCATATAAATGCCTCCATACACAGAACAGATTCTCCTCCATAACACCATCAGATTTAATTGAAGGTTGTTCAGTACCACTACAGATTTCTCTATCTCTATAAATATATATATATAGATATATACAAGAAAATGAATGGTTGTATGTATGAATATGTGTGTTAGTGCTCAAAGGAAACACGCTGCAACATTTTCTTTTACACTTCCAATCTCAATCCATCGAATACTTTACGATGACAGTCCTCCAATACTTTAAAGAGCTCTCCACATCCATGTTTTAGACGACAACTAAACCAGCAATTTTAGACTTCATGTGTATTTTTTAAATCCAGTCAAGGAACTGAACATACAAAGATACCGTTGCTTGTAAGAGATCTGTGGATGCTAGTTTAAGTTGTAAAGCAACAGAAAAAGAGAAGTGAAGTTAAGAATCCTTTTTAAAGCCGGTATTGATGCCAGTATGATGTCTTCACTGTTGTTTTGATTTTTTCTCGAAAGAAGTAAATAACGGCAGTATCAAAAAGAACAGCGTCGGCCATTGTGAATAGAGAGTTGGTGTCATTGGATCCAGTGCCATCTTTTTAACACTGTGCCATAAAGAAAGGTCATTACAGACAGTTCATTGCCAAACTAGTGTAAAGGTTTTTGTATCCTCTTTAGCTCAGCTTTCATATGCAATCTAACATTATAAATTAAAAAAATATGGTTCATTGTTTACTCAAAAAAACAGTGTGAATGTGATCATAGAAGAAACAACAAGCTGCTTTGGGAAACTCCACTGTGACCAATGTCTATTATATTATAAAAACTAAGGAAACATTTACGGCAATCTCACCCTCTATTAGCGAAAGCCACAGAATAACACATGGAGAAATCAGAGCAAATTCAGTCCATTTATATTTTATTTATTCGTAATTTGTCTCCTGAAAATCACAAAGCATGCATGCTTTGTTTTATGAGCCAAGTCTTAGATTTTGAATGCACATCCATTAAATTATTATTTGCCTTGCAGCTTGCCAATTATTATTTTTGACATGTATTGGATTAATCCTAGTCACTGAAAAATACTGTATTATTTTCATGCTGGAGATCTCTATTGAACAAAAATAGCTGGTTTTCAAGAACAGGAACACATGTTATCGAATTACTTGTAGTTGGTTTAAAATGTATAAATTCAGATTTTAAAGTGGGCAAAGCTTTGTTGCTAAATTAAGAACCAATCTCCTTTTACTGAATCGAATTCTACCTGCCCACACACAATAATAAATACATCAATATACATGCTGTCAGGACCTAGTAAATAGGCTATAAAAGGTATATGTGTTGGGGGGGACCTTACTTTGTTTGCAAGCTAGCTAGCTAAACATTTCGTAAGCCAAGCTGCATTCACATGATACGCGATTGGCTCTTTGCCTAACCCAAGGTTGGACACAGAGTTTTGCAATAAAGATAGCTAGTTAATATTTTGTTTGTATGGTTATGGTTGTACGCTTTCGACATGCAACCAATCAGATGACATTTATGCCAGCAAAGGAGGTCTTTGCTGGCATAAATGTCATCTGATTGGTTGCATGTCGAAAGCGTTCTGCAAAAAATGTGGAGTGGTGCGCAACGCCAAGGCTAGGAGCTGCCCTCTTAGTCTTTAAACATGTGTTTGTTGTCTGACTTCTCTGTACGTCAGTAGTGTATGTAATGCCCAAAGAAGCTTGCTGACTCACCGGACAGCTGGTATTGTGACAAAAATAAATCATTTACAAGACCTTATTCTGTTTGCTAGCTAGCTAGCTAAAAAGTTAGTCAGTTAGGCCTTGTTTGAACCCTTGCTAACTGCAAGGTTGGGCACAGGTCTTGCAGCGAAAACAGTTAGTTAGATTTAGTTTCAATGGTAACCTGCCCTGCTAGCTTGCGCTGCTACATACAGCTGACATCTTATTGGTTGCACGTCAAAAGTTCACTAGTAAAGGAGGTAAAAGTTAAAATAGTTTGAACTGCAATGTTAGCGCAATATGAGCGCAGAGCCATTACCGTGTGTCAAGTGAATGCAGCTTTGGCCTACGATTTCATTCATGATTTCATGATCCGCAAAGAAGTTCTAATTTCTCCTCCAACATAAAACTTAACTTGGGTTCAGTCTTCCCAGAAAATTTACTATTTTGCCAAACATTTCTCAAATAGACAGCCATTTAAAAAGTTTTACCTTCCAAGGTTCAAGGTTAGTTTATTTGTATAGCACATTTTAAGACGCAGGGCCAATTCAAAGTGCTTCACATAGGCATTCAACCTATAATAATTAAAAACACAACAAACACACAATCAAAAACACACCAAAAAGAAGACCGTTCATAAAAGCGATAAAATATTGTCTGCCAAGTTTAAAGTTAATACTAGATCACATTTACATTGGTGCAACAGATTTCAATTTCATTTAGGTTTGAATAGGCTAAGTCCCCGTGCCATGACAATTTGCTGCGTGTCATCCCTTCTGTCTCCCCCCTATCAACACTGTCATTTGAATAAAGGCACTAGTAGCCCAAAAGATCTTTACAATTAATCTTTCAAAATTATTATTTTGTAAACTTGTTTAAAAATAATATTATATAATGGGTTTGAAAAGTAATCATTGTTGGTGCAACCCAGAATAAGCATATGCTAATTAGGCCAAGTTGAATATGGAATGTTTTTGTTTTTGTTCCATAAAGGTCACAATCTCTTTGAACAATTGACGCTCAAAGAGAGGCCCTTTTTTTTAATTCAAAGCACTTGTCTTGAATGATGATATTAAGTATGATGCTGCAGACAAAACCCCACATAAGCATATTGTCAGCTAAACTAAATCTATAAAAAAAATGACATCCAAGCAGCGCATATAATCTCACAGCAAACTCGCGAAAAACACTTGGCATGCACACCATCTCTTCATCCATCTCGTGCACTCTTGTCTGTGTATATTGAATCAGTTTCTGATTAATTATTTTATATGAGATTTAAGATATTTAATATTAAAAAGTCTATATGTAATAGAAGTTGTATTGGGAAAAAAAGTGACCTCTCAATGTTACTGCTCAGTATCTGAGTTTAGAAATGTCCTTTTTGTTTTCTAATGCCTTTTTTTCTGTTGATCTCATAAAGTATGCAGACTCGCCATGTTGTTGTGAGTTTATCCTGTCATATCAGAAATAGAAAACTGCACTACCCATGATAACATTTGGCCTGCTAGATTAGAATGTGTCACTTGCAGTGTGTTTATTATAGAAATGTTTGTTCAGACAGAAATATTTGAACAAAAAAAAAGTGACAAAATTACTATTAATGTGATACTCCCTTTATTTGGATGCCAGGAATATTGAAAGGAGGACCTAGTAAACATTGATTATGATGCATGAACCTCATAGCTTTGCACAGGACCACAATTTATTTCCAAGGTCTGTGGGAAAAAATATGAATCTCAGTAGTTATGAAACCATATTTGATCTCACAATATGGGCTTCTTTGAGCCTCCATACACTGGCAGTTACTGGAAAAGGGATTTGTAACAGTATCACAACAAATCATTTGAAATCACCTGCTTAACAAGAGAACATTAGGCTAGGTTAATTGCTGAGCTTGTGTATTTGCTGGTGGTGTGTCTTTAGGAGCAGCCCGAGCTTCTTTGGTGTCCGACTTCTCTGTGCGTCAGTAGCAGATGTACTGCCCTAAACAAGCTTGCTGACTCACCGGACGGCTGCTGGAATATTCACCTGTGGTACTGTGACAAAAAAAACAACCTAAAGCCAGTTTTCACTTTTTTCTACATTGACACAGATTCCAATAAATGTATTTTTTCACCATGCAATGGATGAGAGCATTTTTGGCTTGTGTGTGATTTATGTAATTATGAGTGAAAGAAAATGTACGGTGACCGTCAGGTGCAAACGTGCTGCATTGGCCCAAAACATTTCCATTATGAGAAATGCGCTGCAGTCTTAAAAACGATGCAAATATCAAAACACAAATGTGCCAAAAACATGCAAATGATTAAACATCTTCACTAAAAGCGCTGCAAAAATCGAAACGCTGCATCACTAATAAGTGATCACCAATAAGTGATGCACACAGTTTGTAGCAGAACGCCTGACGTAAAAGTTTGGGGATTAAAAGTTAGCCAACTGTCACTGTTGGCACAGTTAGCCTCATTCATAATTGTAAATGTTTGCAATAATATTGGAAGGAATCATGTGATCCCATTGTTTAAATTAGCCAATAAAATGTTTCAAGTGACAGAGATAGTTGGCTAACTTTATAATCCCTGAACGTCAACAAGCACTCTGATCCCAATTTTGTGCATCACTTTTTAGTGTCCCCTGGTTACCGTTGTGTTTTGAACTTTTTGCAGCGTTTCTTGTTTGCAGCGTTTTGTTTTTGATGCACTTTATGTAAGGCTACTCATGTTTGGTCAAGTTGGTGAAGATGTGTCCTCATTTTCATGTTTTTTGCCACATTTTAGTTTTTTCTGTCTCAATTCTCGTCGTAATGTGTTTATTTCTTCTGACAGCGTGATGGAGATTGAGATGCCTTACAGAGCCACCACAGGGGAGGAATCCAAATGATAGTAGGCTTGACTGCTGCTGTGTGTGTGTGTGTGTGTGTGTGTGTGTGTGTGTGTGTGTGTGTGTGTGTGTGTGTGTGTGTGTGTGTGTGTGTGTGTGTGTGTGTGGGGGGGTGTGTGTGTGTGTGTGTGTGTGTGTGTGTGTGTGTGTGTGTGTGTGTGTGTGTGCATATTTGCCAACCCTCCCGATTTTCGCGGGAGACTCCCGATTTCATTGCCCTCTCCCGGTTTCCTCCCGGGGTTATATTTCTCCCGCATTTCTCCCGATTTCTGACAAATACCGATTTACTCACGACTGTTTCCACTCAGACTTTAATACAGCTACACCATTGTTTGGTTCTCCATGGTCCACGGTGTGTGTGTGTGTGTGTGTGTGTGTGTGTGTGTGTGTGTGTGTGTGTGTGTGTGTGTGTGTGTGTGTGTGTGTGTGTGTGTACCTTGTATACATACGGACACAGGCTTCCACACACATTACCCAGGAAG